CATGGATATGGGAGTCTTATAGTTATGATATTGTGCCTCATGAGCCGGCATCATGTCGCCCACTTTTCATGCAGTGGCCCATGTAACTGTGGAGAAAGGGCCATAACTCTATATATCTCATTACATCAAATCTTGCACCTGAAGAAAACTATCAGTGCACATTGTTCTGGTCTTCTTGAGTCTGTTACCTCTAACCTCCTCTGCCTAATTATGGCTGTGATCCCTCCTCACTATGTTTCACTCTTTGAAGCCCTTCCCCTGCCACTTTGTTGCCTCTCTGCCTGCCTGGTAAAACTAGCGAACATGACGACAGCAAAAACGTCATTCTTGCAAAATCCAAGCATCCTGCAGGACTCTTTAAGCACATATGCACACACTTTGCCGAATTAGCAAGTCACTGTGGAGCGGCTTGCTTCAAGGCTTCATTGCTTCATATTCCGCAATGACATCTACATTTAATGCAGCACGTCTAATAACAGGAAGGCCTTTTGAACTTTATTGCACACCTATGAGACTAGATCATAAAAACATAGAGGTGTTTCAGCACATTTTGTTGTACTTGCTGCAATGGACATCTATTGCCACTGATTTCTACATACCTCTATTTCAATCCTTGTGTTCCCTGCAGATAACAGATTGTTAGGTTCCTCTCCTCATCTGTTATTTATGCATTCTGTCTGATGGTGGAGGGGTGCCAGTATGAGGGGAGGAGCTGCATCTACACACACATGAACACTCGCTGGACAGTGTAATTAAGCAATATAATGATGGAATGGACACAATATCAGGAGAGCTGGATGATAAGGTCACCTGAGTTGTTGGCTTTGAGATGACCTCTTGTGTGGTTCTTCAAAAGCCCAGAAGGTTCTCAAAGAAGATGGAGGTGGTTTGTTTGCCTTGCTTTGCACCATGTTTCTGGCATTGAGTGCTCTGGTTGGTTTTTTAGTTTAGTTTTGAGATTATTAAGGGTAACAGGAGTTTCAGTGATGTGAAAAGTTTGATAACTGTTCGTGTTCTGCAAGGTGTTAAAATGGCAGTTCATCTCAAAATAAAAAATACCTTTTTTCTAGATTGTTTTGGTGTGAGTTGCTGAGTGTTGGAGGTGTCTCAAGATAATGCGCAGACCTTGTTGTTAGCAGTTTCATGTAGTGTTGCATGGTATACCGCTACTAAAATAGTACCGCGGTACTAGAGCATTCCAAATGGTACTATACTGCATTTAGAAAATACCGGTACTTTGAAATTGATTCATTTCATTAATTTAGTTAATTTATTTTACTCATTTATGCACACAAACGCCTTTTTTGTTCCTATTGGAGCACAGATTGCACAAGTGGTGTGTATGACAACACCTGTATCAACATTCGCAGCTGGCGCAAGAGAAAGTCTGCCTCGCAAAGGGAGACAACACGAGACAACACCAACTTAGTGAAACATTTGAGCAACCAAACCGTGACGTCCGTACCGAGGTACTTAGCGAACCATGATTTTTTTGGTACCGTTACACCCCTACTATTTATTGTTCTAAAGGTTTGTATCCAAAAGGACTTTTCCTTAGGAAAAGTACCGAAGAGTATCGAAAAGTATCGAAATTCATATTAGTATTGGTACCGAAACAAAGATTTTGGTATCGTGACAACACTAGTTTCATGTAGGCGCTATTTTCTTTCCCCCGAACTACACCTGCAAACAGTATCAACGTGCAGAAGGAAGAGTGCATCTACTCATTGACGAGGGGCTTCTGCCAGTGTGAGATATAAATGTTAACGGTGCCCTCCTTGGCTGAGCTGTAATGTTAGCCAGCTTAGTGGTGCTAGGTGAACTAGCAATAGATGCACGTTTCCTTCCTTGCGGTGGTACAGTTGGCGTGTGTAGTTGGGGAGAAAGAATATACTTCCTACAAGAAACTGCTCACAACGAGATCTGTTAATTACCTTGACTAACCACGTCATGATCTCTGGAAAGAGACATAGCTGTTGAACTTTTCAAATGTATTTTTTGGGGGGGTTCTTTTAGCCCTAGAAGCCAAGTGCCACCTAGTTCTATTATATTTCAGAGTAGGCTGAGGCAGACATCTCTACGGCTGATATCTCCAACACTCAGCAACTCGTGTTCTGCTAGGTGTTCGACATTTTGGGAAATTTCTTTCTAAGAGTGAGATTAGAAGACATCTGACCGCTGGATGTGGAGCTAGAGCCAGCTAATTTTTAGCTTAGCTTAGCAAACAGACTGTAATAGCTAGCCTGGCTCTATACAAAGGTAAGAAAGTCTGCCTGTCAGCACCTCTAAAACTCACTAATTAATATGTCATAATTTGTTTAATCCACATAGAAACACAAATGTAAACAACAACAATTTGTGGTTTCACAGGGAGGTTGTGTTCTGTAAATATTTCTTAGCTAGGCCAGTGAGGAAGTCACTGACTTGGCCTGGCTTTTCTTTGGCTCACACAGGGAGACATAATGTATTAATTGATGAGCTTAGAGGTGCTGGAAGGGTTAATTTTGAACTTTAGGCAGAGCCAGGCTAGCAGTTTACCCCCGTTTCAAGTGTGCTAAGCTAAGTTAATGCCCGCTGGCTTCAGCTTTGTATTGACAGACCTGAGGGTGGTATCAATCTTCTCATCTAACTCTCGGCAAGAAAGCTCATAAGCCTTTCCAACTTTTCAGTATGTACTTCTGGAGAAAGGTTGTTGATTGCTGAGTCTCATTCCCAGCTTGTCAAATGCTGATGCAGTCTCATTTCCACGACGTTCAGTACCTCTGGGTTGGTGGTTTGGTCCAACTACTAACCCAAGGTCATTGATGTTTGATGACCCAGGAGTAAGATGCACAAAGCAACTGTCTTTTTCTAGCATTGCATACTGAATTTTTAACCAGTAGATATCGGTCATGTTAGACGCTGTTGCTGTCTAGTTCTTACTGGTTGTAAGTGTGCCAGTGTTGGAATGTCTGCAGTGCTGTGATCATGACTGGTTCTTGTCCTGGGAAATTGTAGTGTTACACCTCACTCTCAGGCCTGTTGTCCCCTGAGCACTTGCAGGATACTTTTTCTCTCATCTGCTTCTTCAATGCTGTTCAGTTTGTTGTTTAGCTTCTGTTACTCGACCACACTGCAGCGTGGGAGTACAAAAGAAAGTTCAGTGATGAACGGGGCATTTATCCTGTTGGCCTCTGCTCCTCTGGTGTATCTACTTAGTGTGGCTGCCAGAGCTGAAAGCCTTTGTTTAGCACTCTCCGGGGCCTTGCATATAGACAATTCAAATGCATTTCTTCAGCAGCCAAGACCTGACATTGATCCGTTCACCCTTGTGTAGTTAAGCCAGCTTACTTACTTTCGTGTTTTCTTTATCTTGACTTCCAGTTGGGGTTTCCTTGTGGTGTTAGGATACTGGCTATGACTTGCTTTGCTGAGTTTGTAGCTGAGAGTGTCTAGTGCTGTTATTGCTGTGGTGCGTACGAACCCATGGGATTCAGTTACAGTCACTTTCGCACTTCGTTGGCATCTGCTTTGTCACAATCTTTGATGGGAAGTTCTCAGTCATGCTTGTCAGTTTAGTTCACACGCTGATAGTGTAGCTTCTTGTAAGCTATCACTCTGATGTCAGCATTTTGGTTGCTTAGCTCATCTGTCCATCTCTCTACATCGTGCTTACTGGCCATTATTTGAGTCTCTGTCAGTCTCCATCAGTTTCTCTGTACTTTTCTGGAACATTTGTTAACTGTCTGTGTCCAGTTGGTGTAGATTCCTGTCCGTCACTCATCCATAATATTTATCTCGCTCACACAGGCAGATAAAAAAGGCTTACAGTGCATCAAGTGTTGAAATGGCCCGCTCATTTTGTTACCTGTTTTGTGCACGGCCCGTGGGACTGCAGCCTTCTATCGGTTTCTCTGCTTCCTCCTCCTCACTCCCCTCCCTCGATACCCAACTGAGTCTAAGGTGCTTAATTAGCAATTTGTTAAGGACACTCTCTCCCTTGGGCGTCTGCGGTATCACAAGGCACAACATAAGTGTGGGCTGACCTGAAAAAGACCCCAAGCAAAGCAGGGACAGAGGCAGAAAAACAGCGGAACAGAGGATGTTATGAATGAGCGCAGTGCAGGGGCAGTCACACGGGAATTGAACTTGGTGTCTTGGGATGGGCAAAAATAGTCGTGATTTCTGCTGCTACTTAGCAGCTTTCGAGTTTAAAGTATTTCCCAGGATGAGGCAAATGCTGAGCATGCTCCACGGATGCGTAGGCGTCTTGTATCCATGATAGTCTGGTACATGCATAGACACACACACCTTCAGAATTGTTACTGTGGATTCCAATGTAGAAATTGATAAAGTACAAACACTTGAACCACAGAACAAACACAGATTCTCAAAATACTAACTGGAAATACATCCATCACTTGTACTTTTGCTCCCGATTGTCCCTGTTTGTATGAAAGTCGAGAACTGTGAGACACATGGCTGCAGCTTCATGATGAAGTGGCTCTTTTTAAGATGACTGTCAATTTTTTTTTTATTGCTACCTTTATCTTTATATAAACAGTGCCTTATTGTTGTTCCTATCACCTAACTAAGATTTAAGGAATGCACTCGGACTCCACTAACTTTGAACGGGTACTTGTCATCAGTTTTGTCATGTTTATAATTACTCATGATGTTTTATTGACAAAACTATTAATATCCCAAAAAGGTATACCATACAGGAATCGTCGTCTACTGCTTGTATTGAACAGTATCGACAGCACAAGTGAACGCCAACCCTAGCTTTGTTCGCGAGGGCTTTTGCCTCATTGTATTTGAGCTTTTTCTGCACTGTGTCTGTGATTTTGGTAGCTTATTTTGGATGTGTGCTGCCTACGGCCTGGCACGACCTCACCACTGCGTTGTGCCCAACATCCTGACTATAAGAAAATAAGAATATACAGTCAGGAGACAGGGTCTCTGTGGATAAATGCACTGCCACACACTGAGGAATTAACAATCTCCTTTCGTCTTTGCAGCGAACTGAATTCCAAACTACAAGACACTCTGGAGCAAATAGAGGTACGTGCTTTCCTGCTTTATCTCTAATTCCATTATTTGAGAGCGATATCAGCAAAGAGACTTTTAGCAGTGAATAAGATTGTTCTCTAACCTTGTAATTTTCCACAAGCCCTCATCTGAAAGAAGCAATTTCTCCTCCATTTTGACATTTTGATAGTTTGCCTTTCTCTTTCTGGGTCTGCTAAATATTGACACATTCAGAAAGTCATTATTGTCAGTGTGCAAGCACGGTAAATTATATCTGTTTCATCTCTAGCTGTGCCGTCATACTTGTGTGTGATAAATGGTATGCAAAGCAATTTTCTCTGCGCCGCTGCTGCCGCTGCGCTTGAGTAGATTAATTACTTACAATTTTGTCTGTACACAAGAAACAAGCGCGCATGTACGCACACATACGTAGCCACGTGGAAGGTGTGCTTGTTTGTTTACCTGCTAGCGTGAATTTGTGAATAAGCAAAGCAAAATCCTCTAAAATCATAACGGTAAACACATGCACAAAGGACAGACACAAACAGATCCAACACCTTCACCTTAAGGATGCTAACAGCTTAAAGCATTCATATTAATATACATATACTCCACAGCATATACTGTGTATATGCTTTACACAATAGAGTTGTCACTGGCTGGCAGTCAACCTAGTGTGTAATATCTATTGATTTCTATCTGTTTTCATCTTGCAACACGTCTTCGATCTCACACACACACACACACACACACACAATAGTATCCTAACCATCCTCTATTGTCCAGTCTCTCTATAGAGATGCATCTAGCCAGTCAACCGAGAGAAGCAATTTTTCTATAAAAACCCACTCTCCGCTCTCTAAGCATGATTAGGCCCAGTAGAAATGCAGAGAATGTGTTATCAGTGAGGTTTTGTTGCTGCTGCACAGTGTGTATTACTGTGAGATGTATTTGGCAGCGGGCACCATATCAAGTTGGCAGCATTTTCACTGAAGAAAACATTAGTCATGATAACCAAAAAACTACACTATCAGCTGTGTTTACTACCGAATCATTTTTCAGCTTCTTCTCCTACTGCATATACTAAATTTAAAGCGTATAGAAAGTATTGTAGAAAACTACAATAGCAGGAACTAGTGATTGACATGTTCAATATCTATATGTCATGGATTTAATCATCAAATTACCCATCATTTCTACATTTCAGGGACCAAGTGAGAGGCTAATTTACAGTAGCACCACCTAGTTTGGTTTGTCTCTCCTCAAAGCACACAGCATTATGAACTCAGAATAATTACTGACTAGTTACCACCTCTCAAGTGATTATAGAGCATATGTCAGCGGTAGTTATTGTGCTATGTTCAAGTGCAGCTTTGAACGTAAGGCGTGAGAAAATGGGTGGCGACACTCGGTGTTTGATCACTTACAGCCTTTGCCCTTTAATCTCTGAGGTCGGCTTATTGTGTCAGGGTTGTTCCACGTCCCTGTACATCCTAACTTCTGCTAACCTTGATTTACTTTCTTACCTCTCTTTTTATCTCTTTGTCAAAGACTTAAACACACACACTCACACGTATACCCCCACATCCACATCCAATTGCCCTTGGCCTTGTGTGGTAGCTATACATCTGCACATCTATGTCTAAATCCCCGGTCTTAACGTTGATAATCCCTCTCTTTTTTTCTCCCTCCCGTTTTTCCCTTTGTCATCTATCTATTTCTGGCTCCAGGAGCAGCTCGATGTCGCCCTGTCGAAGACTTGTAAGCACTTTGATGTTTCGCACTACACCAAGGTCCAGCTGGCATACACACTCCTGGGCAAGACACAGGTCAGTGGTCTAACATGTCTACGGGGGTCATGGGGAATGGCTTAATATGACTGGATGTGATGGTCTGATTTTTGTCCTCGCTTACTGCATATGTCCTTTTGTTTGACTTTTTGTCTCTCTCATTGGGATTTTTTTGGGAGGAGAGGTTAAGTGTCATCATTTTTTTTTAAAGTTCCTCTCCGTAACAATGTCAGCACCAATTACCTAAATTTTTCACCTTTTGCCACCATTTAGATAAGAGCAGTATAAAAAAAATCTTCAACAGACAGGCTGGTAAATCCCCTATAGAAACCATGAGAATATAATTAGGTTTATTTAAGTCTTTTTCATTATTATTTCTTCTTGCCTCAGTGGAGTGTTTTTACTCCAGTGAGTGAATCCAGGGTTTTCTTATTGACGTAGAGAATATTTTAGGCCACAGGGCATGCATGTCATCCTTTGTGATCACGTTATGCTCTGCTTACTGTCAGTTAACTGACAGCCGCAGAAATCACCCACAAAAAGGATCCCACTTCTCCAAAATAATCCTTGGATAATAATAAATTAAGCTCTTGAAACCACCAAATGGCTGAGATGATACAGTCACAGAAACATGTTTGTGTGTGACATTTGAAGCTGTTAACATTCATGTCTAGTTTCTGTTAGAAATGCTGGGGGAAAAAATAACAGACTATAACCTTAAATGACACAAGTTTTATCTTTAATCAATAGCATCTTTCTGTCAAACTCTCCTCCTTACTTCTCATATCATATTCCAGCCCTCATGTTTTTGGTCAAAAAGCATTGATCTCTAACGCTACGGCCTCTCTCTTTAATAACCCATGCACTCCATCATTATCCAGCATTTCCCCTGGGCCCACTACAGTGGCCTGGAGAATCAATGGGAAGCGGCTAACACAATTAAACACTCATTCTACCACCTACTGCCACACCAGATTTCCATCTCAAATCCAACACAAGTTTCTCTAAATATTTACCAGTTACTTTTCAAAATCCACATGAAATTAGATCCACTGCACAGCACATTTAAAAGAGAATATGTCCCTCTTAAAGCTGGTTTGCCTGTGACTTCCAACACCAGGAGCACATTTAATTAAGTTTTAATTAAAGGTCTGGTGTATAAGATTTAAGGGAATCTATGGCAGAAATTGTATATATATGTTTACATTAGTTTATAATCACTTCAAAATAAGAATTGCTGTGTTTTCTTCACCTTAAAATGAAGTGTTAGGAGTACTTCCTCTTCCACACACTGAGACATGTTGTTCTTTAGTAGCCTCACATTTTTGTGTTTTGTAGTTCTCCTGCACGCTTGGCACACAGAAGTTTCAGTTCTGCAACCTCACCAATACATGCCACTAAATCCTACACACTGGACCTTTAGAACAACATTATGACTCACAAGGCCAAATTGTCCCTGGTGTTACCAAAGCAAAGTAACAGTTGAAAAGTTATTTTTTAACAAAGTTTAGTCAGTACTAACTCTCGAGGTCAAGAGAACACTTTGAAATAAACTGGACTGTTTGTAAATTCAGAGCGCTGTTGGAATACATTGTTCTGTTATTCAGAGCACCATACTCTGGGAGCAGCATAGCGTACACTGGGTACTCTGTGTGAGGAGACGGAGCAGAGCGCCATCCATTTTGACTTAAACGTTAAATTATTACATTAATAGAAGCTCTATTATTTTGATCAACACTGTTGTGTATAGTGTGTAGAGCATCGGATTGGACTCGTACGCACCCAGCATCGCTTCCAGCAAACTTCACAGTAAACAATGAGGGCAAAACGGTATCACCATTCTGAATTAACCATAGACTGTAAAATAAAGATAGACGACGTGACAGCTCCCCAAAAGTAAAGCCAAAACATCCCGGTCTATCCCTGGTCTTAAACCCTGTCCCCTTCATGTTAACAGATGGAACAAGAGTCATGCAAAACTCTCAAAGTACATGTCAAATAAATTTTTCCTAAAGATGGTTGGTGTCATTTTAGGAAGTTGTTATCACACTGATGTTTGTTCAACTGTTTGTTTTTCTGATAAGTTTGGTTTTATTTAGATATTTGATGCTATAAAAAGGGGGTTTGATGTTATGATTGACAGCTGTGTGCGCCCATCAGTGTGCTCACGATTTGTGGTGCTGCTCGCATTGGCTGGACTGGTGTAGATCCCTAAGTGCGCAGACTTTGGCTCCAAATAACATGACCAGCACATGATGGCAGCGGCCATACCTGGAATATTTATTTTTTTACAGTAGGAGGAAGTGGCAACGCATTGTTCTGCTTTGTATACAGTCTATGGTTAGCATGCTAGCGTGTCAGTCAGAGCCTGTTTGTTACTGGTAGGCTACCGACAGCATTATCTCCACTTATCTCAAGCACTTTCGATAACACTTGTCTGTCCTGCTGTTATTATAGACATGTGAACTAACCACTGACATTTGTCTTGTACATAGACTCACAAGTGTGCTGCTGCAGAATAAATTTAGGGGAAACATGGGAAGGGATATTTGACGTTACTTTGGCATTAAGTCAAGGTTTATTTTGGTCTGACAGAGGTTCTGGTTGGCAAATTTGCATTTCCTAGGATAGTGAAGACATGACCAGCCCAACTCTGCCTTGCTCTGCCTCTGATTGGCTTACCCTGACATTCTTACCCCCACCAATCCCACTGCTCTTGCCTAAATCTAACCAATCCAACCAACAAAGGCAATGAGTACTAGCCAATCAGAGGAGAGTAGGGTGGGTCATGCCTTTGCTGTCCTAGGAATTGCAAATTCGCTCCCCCTGTAAAGGTGAAACAGTTTCATCTCCGACATATCACTTGGCCCAGATCTCTTTAATTCTCTGCTTTGACTTACATCTCCTCTTCCCTTTCTTATTACCTTCATCTTATTCCTCCTGCTTGGATGTTTAAACTAATTTTCTGTTTAGTACCCTACTTCTGTCTGTGTGACAGTGCTCTCTGACATGGGTATCAGTCATGGGTTGTAAGCGAAAAATTTAAAACTTTGCATTTTGATAATCTTTGTCATCCTTGAAATAATTACATTTCTACTCCAACTTGCTGAAACGAGTACCCATCCAGCTGTGCATGATAATTTTGAATGATGAGGAGGCTGCCATGTCTGAAAATTTCATCTTTCAGCCAACTTTATGCGGACTTTGTAATTCCACTAATGCTATTCCATTCCTTATCCTTATCATTTTGAGCCCCTGCTACAGGTGATGGTAATCAAAGCCTGAGAGTTCAGCTCTTAGGGCTTATGGTGGATGTTTGAGTTGGGTCAGTCTAAAATTGAGTTACACTGGTTAAATTAATGTTCTGCAAACATGGCATTTTACTGTACAGCTTTAATATGTTAAATCGCCAGTGTAAAACCTTAAATTATTGGCATTGACATTATAAGATTAGAATTATGTCACCTTCTTCACATTACACTTGGAGGTACTTACGTGTGAGGGCTACTTGACGAGCCTCGACACAGCGAACACATAGTCATTGTTATTCGAAACCAGAGCCAGTGTTGATGTTAATAAATATGCTGTATGCCTCTTCACAGTACCAGACATCCTTGAGGTGGAGACTGAGCCATCAAGGCTTGTTGAGAATGAATGGTGTTTTTCTTATTACTGTGATAATGAGCATTTTCACACTCAAAAGCTAACTAAGAAGTTGTTCTTGACTGCCTCTCGCCATTGTCCCTAAGGGCTTGTTGTTGTTTTCATCTTTCCTTCTCCCTTCTTCCTTCGGCTTGCACTGAATCGGTTTGTCACAGCCTCTCTGCATCTGTTTTCTCACAGTCCGTATGATCTTTGCTGGAATCTTAGCTTTTACTGCAGGCTCATTTTTGCCGCAGTGAGCACACATGCACAAATTAACACTTAAAATCTGACGCTTTGCAATAGGATACATGAATTAACTGTGTCATTCAAGAAGTAACAGGCGTCACAAGGCTCTGTAGCATCCCACTTCGGATCATATGTATGTTCTTTACACTGGTCCCTCAGACTTTTGCTCTCATTACCTGGCTCATAGCCTAATGAGCCTGACACTTACTTTGCTTTTCCAACATTTGTCTGAGCGAAACATCTGCTTGTTTGGTTTAAGTAGCTACTAAAGACTGAGTGGGTTTGCTTTTGCGGTTGATGGATAATTATGTCTTTAGGTGATGATAATCATGACGTGAGTCACCTTTCTCTGTTTTTCTTGTCTACAGTTCATGATTTGTACAGTGAGACAATTTCATGGTGCTTTGGTGGATAGATGTAGTGAAACTTGTTGTTTAAATGACTTTGGTGGCAGCAGGCAGTCAGAATGGATGGGGGCAACATTTTTGTGGTCGTGAGCTCGCAGTAAGAAAATCTAATTGCGCCGTAACACCCATTACCTATCGGCCCTTTGCTCAACTCTGTGCCCACGTCTCCTGAGACTCTGGTGTCGTCAATTCACCAGGGTCCTGTAACGAGGCTGTGGGTGGGAGCTGCAAAACAGAAAATGATGGCAAATGTGTTTTCAGAAAATAAATGATTTGAGACTTGAATTGCAACGGCACAAACTCAGCTCAGATTGTACTGCAGATGTTTTCCTGTGAAGTAATGGTTAAGATTAGTTTTGGGATTTACCTGCAAAATGAAATCCCTGATTATTAATGTTAAATGAAGTAATTAAGAAATCCTACTTTGCCATTAATGATTTGTGTTTTTAAGCTGCTCTAATCAATATTTATATAATAGCTGGATCACACACTACTTACTCAGGGTATCTTTTTGGTATCTGGCTTCACTATCTTCTAACATTTGCCATCTGGATAACTGGTATCATAAAGCTGGTTGTCAACTAGTTCAGTCAACTCTGGGTTTTTCTATCCAGCCAAGAGTGTGTTCATGTAAGAGGTGGGGCTGTTAAGTACGAGGGACCTCATCAAAACCATGAATGAAGTAGCTTATTTCATATGATATGAAATGAAACAGTGCCTGCGGGAATCTTCTGTTTACAGGTCATTTTAATAACAATGTAATGTAAATGGTAGCTTTTAATCTAACAACAGAATAGGAAAATAATCAGTTTGAAAATGAAGACTTTGTGAAAATGTCACAAATAACATTTAAAAGTAATGCCAGACTGTTAACCAAAGCAAAGTAGCCGAGATAATGAGATTCATCTGGCTGAAAATTTTGCCTTTATAATAATAGGAGCCAATTAACAGTGTGTTGATTATTTTCCAAAAAAATGTAATCTTTCTTTTTTATTTCCAGTTCTCATCACGCAGGTGTCCAGGTCTTACTTTTATCCTCCAATGATCTGATTGGTCAGAGTCGGGATGTTGACAGGTTGTGATTTGATACTCCAGAGCAGTTATTTATTAAGAGCATTCTTACTAGGATCTGTTCCAGTCTCAGGAGGCAGCCTTTTTCCAGTAAGAAACACTGTTCGCTACCTGTCCAAGACCAAACATCAGACATACAAAATTAACAACTAGCTGGTGAGCATAGAGGAGCTTTAAGCAACTGATATTTGCCCCAGGGGTTTGTGGACACTGTTAACGAAGCTGAAGGATGAGTGAATGTTGGACTTTCATTCATCGGGTAGCCAGAAACAGAACCCCAAATGTGTTACACCGTGTCTAATTGATGTGAGAACAAGCCACTGGTTGCTAACGTATTAGCCATAACAACTTTGTAAGCTGATAATGTGTCAATGTTGTGATTACATCCTGCTGTGCTTCCCCCAAGTAGCCAAAAAGTCAGTTAGTACAGCTTTAAGGCAGAAAGGCTGGTTGGTGTGAAGTCAGTACATCATCATTTCTGTATGATGTTTCGCTAAATTTAACAGTGTTAAAGTAATCTGGGAAATTTTCCTTTAAGTCTTAGTGCCCTGATAATCACTCATTTTGATGAATGAAACACCTCAGGGTATTCCATATGAGATGAGTGATGACACAAGTGAGCAGAGCTGGAGGCAGTCAGCTGTGCATGTGTCACTAAAGTGCCTCCGCCATTGTGTTTTTCATTTTGTTCCTTGCTGTTATTGCTTCATTAATGACACTTTCCACAGCAAACTGAGCTGTTTTCAGAGATGTCAATCATGGAAACTGGAGGCAAAATTGCCCATTTTCTCTTGGACTTGAACATTGCAGTTCCCAGGAGACAGCTTTGCCCATTTCCCCTCATGCCATATTGTGTAGCTGACATAATACATCTGCAAATAATTCAAAATATCAAGTACACAGCATGGGTCTCCAAAAAGTTTGATTTGTAATTTCCTTGCCTTTTCAGCCATCCACCCTGGCAGATGACAGTGACATCTTATAACATAATAGTTTTCATAATAATGTGTTTGGCTCTCTCTGCAGACTGCTATGGACCAGCTACACATGCACTTCACACAGGCCATCCACAACACGGTGTTCCAAGTGGTGCTGGGATATGTGGAGCTGTGTGCCGGCAACGCTGATACCAAGTTCCAGAAGATGCAGTACAAGGACCTCTGCACGGTAAGGAGATCAGTGTGTGTGTGTGTGGTCATTATAACAATACTTAATTTAACAGAACTTAAGTTAACCTAATTAAAACAGGGCTTTATTTAACTATATTATAACAGTATTTTATTTAACTTTTTGTAACAGTAGTTTATTTAATTCTGTTTTAAAAGTGCTGTATTTAACTTTATTATAAACATAATTTATTGTAATAGTATTCTATTAACTTCATTGTAAGACTAGTTTATTTAACTCTATTATAATAGTAGTTTTTTTTTGCTTTATTGAAACAAGTTAATTTAAACGTATTGTAATAGTAGTCATTTAACTTTATTGTAAACATACTTTATTCAACTTTACTTTATTATAACAGTAGTTTATTTACCTTTATTGTAATAGTAGTTTAATCAACCTTATTGTAATAGTAGTCATATAATTTTATTATAAAAGTGCTGTATTTAACTTTATTATAATAGTAGTTGATTTTACTTTATTGTAACAGTAGCTTATTTAACTTTGTTATAAAAGTGCTGTAGTTAATTTATTATAACAGTATTCCATTTAACTTTATTTTAATTATACTTTATTTAACTATATTATAATAGTATTTTATTTAACTTCATTGTGAGAGTAGTTTATTTAACTCTATTATAACAGTAGGTTAGTCAACTTTATTGCAACAGTAGTTTGTTTAATCTTATTGTAATAGTAGTCATTTCACTTTACTGTAACAGTAGTTTATTATAAAAGTGCTGTATTTAACTTTATTGTGAACATACTTTATTAACTTTATTGCAAGAGCAATTTATTTAATGTTATTATAATAGTAGTCATTTAACTTTATTATAAAAGTGCTGTATTTAAGTTTATTGTAACAGTAGTTTATGTAATTTTATTATAAATGTGCTGTATTTAATTTATTACAACAGTATTCCATTTAACTTTATTTTGTAATGGTACTTTATTTAACTTTAAACATACTTTATTTAATGTAATGATAGACATAGACTTTTTATGTTACTTAATTGCAACAGTAGTTTATTTAAGTTGTTATAACAACACTTTATTAAACTTTATTTTTCACAGTAGCTTCTTTAATTACCTGTACTGTAACTGTAGTTTATTTAGTATTTTATTTTATTTTTGTATTTTAGTAATCTACAGTACATTAAAGATTAAAAATATCAAGACATACATATATTGTGTATTGCAATATTATCTATAGGCCTTATCGCCCAGCCCTACTTCATATTTGATCAGCAATGCCAAGTATCGTGCTGCTCTCTCTTTGTGTCTGTGGTGGCTGCGGGTACACAAAAATCTGAAAATCGTCAACTGGTGGATTTTTGCTGGTAAATGAGCAGGGAGGTCTGGGCGCTGGCAAGCTGGAGGGAAATTAACCACTGTTCATTTACACGTACTACCCATGTTGTTATGATGTAAAGCTGGTTGAAAATCTGCAATTTTTTAATTTGATACAGAATAAAGAACACTGCCTGCAAAGTGCTGTGATGGTAGGAAACATGACATACTGCTGGGCCCACTCTTACACACTTTGTTACTCACATTACCCCTCTAGCGTTTTTATTGCCGTGTAGACAAGCGAAAAATACCTTATTTCATGACAAGGGATTCTACAGATTCTCCATAATGGAGTGAAATGAAGGGAGTAGAGGAGAGAGTGATTCAGATGTAATAAATTTTGCTCACAATACAGAACGAATGCACTGCAGCAGCAGCATTTTTGATTGGGCTCTCCATACATCCATATAGTCCCTCTCTTTTTCTTACTCTCCAGATCAAAATAAATCAACTTTGCATGGCCAGCAAGCCATGACTTGGTCAATTCATCATTAACTTGCTGGGAGTGAGTTTACTTACTCACAGGGGCAGTGTTACAGTCTGATCGACAGTGTGGAGGGGTATATAGAGGCAACAATTTGTTGCTCTACAGTCTCAACTGTCATAGGTTTTTCCTGCCTGACTCTGTAGCTCCATGTGTGGTCTTGCTGTTTGACTGCACAGCTTCTCCAGAGCCTTCGCCAGCTGTACTCTTATCTACAATGCCCTGCCCTTCAGCTCTTACCTTCATGCCACCTCTCCTCCTCGTCCTCACTCCCTGTCTCCTCTTCCCCCTGCCTCCAGCTTCTTTTTCTGTCTGTTTATGCATGTTTTTCCACCCCAGTTGGTAAGTGGCATGGAAGGAGCAATATTCAGTTTGGAAGGGCTGGAGGTTCTGGGTCGAGGCTTCTTTTTATTTTGGACTCGTTTTAGATCCAGAGGGGTCTATGATACCCTGCATTCAAGTTGGCTGACGGGATGTTTTCAATCTGGGAGCTGAAAAAAGATTTAGATATCAGTTTCTCTGTCACTTCAAGCTGGATTTAAGCACATTTTTGTATTGCTAGAAAAGGGGTTTGGTGGGATTTCAAAACATATGAAATTGCTTTCCTGACGTTGATGGCCAAAATAGGCTTGTAGCAAGGGGTGGTAGCAAATGATACATGGGATACCTAAATAGAAAACTGTGGATGTTATGAAGTCATGCTTATAAAATGTTGATTATTTCTCAGGTGTGGCCTGAGGAAGAGCTCTCTCTCATTGTTGTGGGGTGATAGTTTTCTTGCAAGGAAGCCTGGCTTGTTATAAACGATGTGCTCTACTCTGTTCTTTACCAGGGCGCAGAGTGGCTATTAATATATCAGACACTGTAGATATACTGTACTACTGTACTAGGATGCTTGACAATAATACCATTTTATCAACGGTTCAGTTTGCTCTTATATGCTTCATGCTATAAGTGCGTGACCCATCAGAAGAAGTACGATACAATCCACCTTATATTTCAATGGCATTATAAATAAGGTGGAAAATTACTTATCAGAAGAGTGTAGCTGCCTCTTGGGATTGGACAGTGTCTCCAAGAATCATCGGGGAGTAATCCAGGTCAGCTATAATTTGAGATATAGTTATTGTGGGGGGAAAAAATTAATTTAACTTTATGCTCCATATACAGTACAGGCCAAAAGTTTGGACACACCTTCTCACATTCAATGCGTTTTCTTTATTTTCATGACTATTTACATTGTAGATTCTCACTGAAGGCATCAAAACTATGAATGAACACATGTGGAGTTATGTACTTAACAAAAAAAGGTGAAATAACTGAAAACATGTTTTATATTCTAGTTTCTTCAAAATAGCCACCCTTTGCTCTGATTACTGCTTTGCACACTCTTGGCATTCTCTCCATGAGCTTCAAGAGGTAGTCACCTGAAATGGTTTCCACTTCACAGGTGTGCCTTATCAGGGTTAATTAGTGGAATTTCTTGCTTTATCAATGGGGTTGGGACCATCAGTTGTGTTGTGCAGAAGTCAGGTTAATACACAGCCGACAGCCCTATTGGACAACTGTTAAAATTCATATTATGGCAAGAACCAATCAGCTAACTAAAGAAAAACGAGTGGCCATCATTACTTTAAGAAATGAAGGTCAGTCAGTCCGGAAAATTGCAAAAACTTTAAATGTGTCCCCAAGTGGAGTCGCAAAAACCATCAAGCGCTACAACGAAACTGGCACACATGAGGACCGACCCAGGAAAGGAAGACCAAGAGTCACCTCTGCTTCTGAGGATAAGTTCATCCGAGTCACCAGCCTCAGAAATCGCAAGTTAACAGCAGCTCAGATCAGAGACCAGATGAATGCCACACAGAGTTCTAGCAGCAGACCCATCTCTAGAACAACTGTTAAGAGGAGACTGCGCCAATCAGGCCTTCATGGTCAAATAGCTGCTAGGAAACCACTGCTAAGGAGAGGCAACAAGCAGAAGAGATTTGTTTGGGCCAAGAAACACAAGGAATGGACATTAGACCAGTGGAAATCTGTGCTTTGGTCTGATGAGTCCAAATTTGAGATCTTTGGTTCCAACCGCCGTGTCTTTGTGAGACGCAGAAAAGGTGAACGGATGGATTCCACATGCCTGGTTCCCACTGTGAAGCATGGAGGAGGAGGTGTGATGGTGTGGGGGTGTTTTGCTGGTGACACTGTTGGGGATTTATTCAAAATTGAAGGCACACTGAACCAGCATGGCTACCACAGCATCCTGCAGCGACATGCCATCCCATCCGGTTTGCGTTTAGTTGGACGATCATTTATTTTTCAACAGGACAATGACCCCAAACACACCTCCAGGCTGTGTAAGGGCTATTTGACCAAGAAGGAGAGTGATGGAGTGCTGCGGCAGATGACCTGGCCTCCACAGTCACCGGACCTGAACCCAATCGAGATGGTTTGGGGTGAGCTGGACCGCAGAGTGAAGGCAAAGGGGCCAACAAGTGCTAAACACCTCTGGGAACTCCTTCAAGACTGTTGGAAAACCATTTCAGGTGACTACCTCTTGAAGCTCATGGAGAGAATGCCAAGAGTGTGCAAAGCAGTAATCAGAGCAAAGGGTGGCTATTTTGAAGAAACTAGAATATAAAACATGTTTTCAGTTATTTCACCTTTTTTTGTTAAGTACATAACTCCACATGTGTTCATTCATAGTTTTGATGCCTTCAGTGAGAATCTACAATGTAAATAGTCATGAAAATAAAGAAAACGCATTGAATGAGAAGGTGTGTCCAAACTTTTGGCCTGTACTGTATGTATATGTTTTAACCGTCCATATCTTTCTGCTCGTGTCTCTTTTTTGTTTTTTTCCCGTGGACATAATTGGACATAGGCTTAATGGAAATCTGTGTCATGGATCCCCTGAAATTCTGCGTGCATGCAACTGTATAACAGTTACAAACACATCCTAATGTTTACTTGTGTTTGATAGATACCCTGTCAGCACGCTGCGTTGCCTGGATGATCCCACTTATACCGCAAACACACACACACGTATATACTGTACAAACACGCTTACCAACTTAAGATTGATGGGATGTGTCATTACACACTCGCCTGTGTGATCATGATTGATAGGGCAGCCAGCTACGCAAAGGCGCCCACTCAAATGAAGAGGTACGTA